CAAGAATCCTTGACTTTTGGTGCCTGTAATTTTCTTTAGACTGATTTGCTTCCCCTAAATTCTGTTGAAGAGAATCCCAAGGGATCCAATCTCTCAAACCTCCTTGCAATCTGAGCTTTCCAACTATTTTTTTTAGAGATACTATTTTCATAGAATTTTCTGATCTGAAGCCACTACTCCATTTAAGGATCTCTACTCTAGTATTTTTTTTATTTTAGACAGGAAGCAGAACATAGGGGTGCCAGATTAGGGAATGTTCCAAGCCCTTTCAATGACTTCAGAAAATCCTGGTCTCCCTATCTATCTTCTATCAAAACAAAACCTTTTCTTATGCCTTGCCAAAGTAGGATCTGGATAGAGGGTAAACAAATGGTGGTTAGAAAAGCTTCTAAATGTTGAAATTGTTTTTGAGTCAAGGTGAAGGGAGACAAAACCCAGAGAGGCCAAGATCCTATCCAGTCTTTATTCTACAAACCCTTCTCTCTGCCTATTATTGCCCCAGTTGAAGCAATGAGCAACTAAGGTAGGTTCATGAATACCCTTATTGCTGATGAAGGCTTTAAAGTTATGGGAGGGGGACTCTGGTTTTGATCTCCCTCCTTGTTTTTTTTCTTCAAAACAGGTGATATCATTTCAATCACCACCCATGAACCAACAATCCCCCCCACTTGATTTTTTCACCCTCTAGCTAGTCCCATTGAACTTTCCTGGTTTTGGCATCATATCCCAGAATTCGACTTGAATATAGAAAGGGGAGAGTATTATTTGGAAGATTTGGATTGCTTAATTCCAACATAGCAACAGGCCCCCACTTTTACCTTGAGGTTCAACTATGACCCAATTATCCCTGAAACTCAAAGCTCTACAGACTGTATTTACAAAAGAGGATTTATTTTTTTTTTCAAATAAAAAGAGCAAAACTGGGTGATGGAGCTTGTACATCTCTTTCAACTGTGGAACTATAGACGGCCCACTCAGTCCTTTACAGTTCCACACCACCATATTCATTGACTCTTTGGGGGCCACTTTAGGCTGGCCTCCCTCACCTCTTCTTCCATAAGCGTTAGCTTTTCGAGATTTTGACAATCTTCCAAAGGATTTTGATTTCCATCTGAGCCATTTGGTTCTTCTATAATCAGCTGTCTTTTTCGTTGCTGAGTTTCATTGCTTGGTTCGCCTGGGGATTTCACATTCCTTTTCTAGCCTTTCCTTAAAGCTTGTGCAGATTCTTAGTGTTTTGAGGTTTGAGGGGAAGAATCCTCACTGAAGGTGTTAGGTCCTAAGGTGTTACTTTGAGCAACACTTTCTGGGATGATTTTTTTGGCTCCGCAAATTCAACATCCATTGAAACGGTTACAGGGACTGAGAGGTGCTGAGAAGGTACTAGATTTTGCTATTAGGTATTAGAGATGATGGGGAATTAAAGCGCTGGTCTATGAAGGTGAGGGCGGGGATGTTTAGTAACGCATTTGGGAGGCTTTGGTAGCTAGGGTTGGTTGATTTTTGGGAGTTTAGGGGATTAAAGGAGGTTCCTATGGAATGCTTTTGGCTTTGGGAACTATTGTTGGCAAGTGAATCAAAATTAGCACTACTTGGAATGTGATTGGGGAAGGATGAAAGATCTTGGACCCTTAATCAGTCACCATACAGTCCTTCTGTAAGATTGCGTGCATTTATGTCCTCAGCACTTTTGGCGTAGGTTCTATCCAGATGTCCAAGGAGACCACAGTATTAGCACAAGTTTGCTAGTCTTTCATATTTGAACTCCACAATTGATTTTCTTTCTCCGGATTTAATGCTTGCACACCTCATTAGCGATTGTTCCAAATGTATTGTAGCCAAGACCCTTATGCATTTGTCTGCCATAACTCCACCTTGTGGGACTACCACATCCTTAATTTTTTGAACAGATGGCCTATTTTTAAACCAACCTAAATTGTGATCCAGTTTATTAGAATATTCCATATCTGCACCCATATATCTAGTTCAGCAAAGTCTGAATGGTTAGCATTGAGTCCTTCTGTCCATTCTTTGAGAATAAGGCTTTGGTTTTCAAAATTCCATCTTGTTCCTTTCAGCACTTTATTTTGTCGGCCAACTCTGAGAAAACAAACTGGAAATAGTAAGCACTTAGTTCCCTCACTGTGACCGAAGGTTGGATTTTTCTTATTACCCTGCGTAGACCCGAGAGGTGAGCCTTTTTGTTTTTATCTAAAAGGCTCATGCTACACTCCTTTGAGCTTCGATGTATATCCTCCAAATATAAGAGCATAATGTTTGCTTCTTTGTTTGAGAGCTAGAAGGAGCCAATCTTTGTAACGATGTCCTCTTCCATAGGCGAATGAGTTACTAATGCTGAGCGGAAGAGATTTTTTTGAAAAGCCTTAAAAAGATATTGGAAAAGAAGACACGAGAAGAGGGGAAGAGGGGAGAGGGACAACAACCCTAAGGCACAAAAGTAAGAACATTTAAAGCCATATATAGGAGACAAGGGGAAAGGGGAAACTAACCTTGCAAAGCCTTGGAATCCCGCTCCTAATCAGATAATGGACGATGTCTGCCTAGAGAATTCAAGTCTCACGGGAGAGAATCGGGCGTCTCATAGAGAGAGAATTTCTATTCCCACTTTTTTTCATGACTTGGCCATTGAATGATATAGAAAAATAATAGAAAATAGATTATATCTTATTCATTTTTTTTAATTTCGGTCTAAAATGATATGGACTAAAATAATTATGAGTTTTTTTTTTCAAACGACAAGATATCTCATAAACACCAACCAACTGGTAATGTACACGGGGAAAAGCCCCACTCCTGGGTAACTGAGTGACTACAATCATAACATGTAACCTAGACGGAATACACAACTGCTCCAACAAAATCCTAACAATTAACCTAAACACACACAAAAGAAACTGCCATCATACATAATCCAGATTCAACAGAAGATAGAAACATCAATGCAAACTAAAACACTAGACAGTAACTAAGAAAAAAAAATAAACTACTGACACAAGACCTAGTGTACTGCTTTCTGCTCCAAGTTAGGCTCCCAGCTATCAGCCTCTGACTCCATCCATTCTTGAGTTGCCATTTTGACATCCAAGATTTTGGTTGCCAAGCTCTGTCAAATACCCAAAGATTCCTCGCCTTCCAGAGCCACCACAATATATAAGTTGATAATTGGATTATGTCCTCTGAAGTTTTCTTGAAATTCATCCAGCTCAGCCACCACCACCATTCCTTAAATGTAAGTTGCTCTAAAAATAATTATGAGTGGTTTATAGAATAATAATTTAAGTTGAGGTTAAAATAATGTATAAAAAATTAATCATAATTTGTTTATTAAAATAATATTTTTTGTGAAAAAACTTTAGTCTAGACTCATATCTCAAAATGAACCAAATGTTTTGGATTCATTCAATAAAATTTACATGCCACATTAATATATTATCCAATACAAGAGCAAGTGGACTGGGTCTTATTGATGTGGCATCAAGAAAAAGAGATCTGGTCTATCCTTATGTTTATTTTAGACTCAAGTAGAGATCCAATCTCTTTACATTAGAGTGAATTTGTTGTTACTTTTATATAATTTTATCATTGTTCTAAAAATCGGCCTAGGCCGCGCCTAGGAGCTAGGCGGTGCCCGGGCGCCTCCGATTTGTACAAATCGGCAGAAAAAATTGGCAAGGCGGCTAGGTAGCGCCTAGGCGGACTTGGCGGGCTCGGCGGCCAGGTGGTTAGGCGGTGCTTAGGCAGGCATAGGCGGACCTAGGCGCTCCAAGGCGGGCTCAGCGGCAATTTTTCAATTTTTTTTATTTTTTAAATACTAATTACATTATTTTGTTCTCATGTTTTATTTAAAATATATTAATATTATTATTTAGACTTAGGTGTGTGAATTTATCCTAAGTTGATATAGTTTTATTTTATAGCTAGTTAAAATACATAAAAAATAAGATATTTAATATTGATTTCTAGACGCCGCCTAGGCCCCGACTAGGCGGTCTAGGCGCTAGGCGCTGGTCGAGCACCTAGCGGTCGCCTAGCGACTTTTAGAACACTGAATTTTATCCACGTCATGCAAGACTTAAGTCTATTTACATGTCATGTAAACAAAATTAGGTTCGAAGCACTATGGATGTTCTTAAGTAAGACTTAATCCACTTTTTCACATGTCGAACCATGTAGACTTGATGCTTTTTATTTGCATTTGGAGACTACGTTTTATACAAAAGATTCATTTTTTTTTTCCAAAACGCTAGAGGTAACTATTATAAATGCGAGCGAAGCTCGAAAACAATGTTCAGAACCAACAACATAGACTTGAGAGGAACATCACAGTGATGCCCTAGAGCCTCAGCAAATACAAAAACAATACCAAAACAAACACCAAGAACAAGAGATGATCACTGCCACAAAGTCTAGCCAACTACATGCCCTTACTAAAACTAAGAGAAAAAACAAATAAGACAATTAAACTAAGAAACTGCTGCAGAAGTTGAAGAAGAGAACTCCCTCCAGTCCGAATGAGCTGCTTTGATTGTAATGTGTGGTGGGGGAATTGAGTCTTGAAAAACCCATTGGTTCCTGGTTTTCCAGAGCCACAACAACAAATAAGTTGTCAACTCAATCCTGTGTTGTCCTACCTCAGAGTGTTTGGTCAAGCAGATATGTTGCCACCATGTTCTGAAGGAATCAGGGTAGGTAGATAAGCCATGCCATGTGACTGGAGCCAGGTGCCAAACTCTTTGTGCTCTAGAACAGTTCAGAAGTACATGTTCCAAAGTTTCAGGGCTTTCTCCACAATATTTGCAGATCACATCAATATCCATGCCTCTTTTCTTCAGATTAGTTAGTACAGGCAGTGAGTCAGTTAGGCATTTTCACATGAATGTTTTAAGCTTCATCTGAACCTTTATAGACCAGCTTCTCTCAAGGGTTTTCTGCCAAGGTTTGGATCTGTCACTGCATTCAGGGATATCTAGTAGCAGAACTTTTTTTTGCACCAGGTAAGAATAAGTAGAGGCCACAGAAAACTTTCCTTTTTAATCCAATCCCCAATAAATTCTGTCATTTTTGTCTGGCTTGAGGGATTTCATGCCCAATATTGTTGTACTGTCTTCTTGGTTGAAAACCTGTTGCACTAGCCATTCGTTCCAGCCTGGACCAGATGGTAACATTAGGTCCTGAACAAAAATAAGGTGATCTCTTGCTAGTTCTAGCATTTAAGGTTTATTCCTCAAATTAGGAATCCAATTGTAATCAGCAATTCTAGTACTTGCTCCATTTCTAATCTCCACTTTTAGCCATTCAGAGAATAAAGGAAGAATATCTAACCAACATTTCCAAAGCCAAGATCCCTTCTGAGTTTTAGAAGCATGGAATATGGAAGAGTTAGGAAAACCCTTTCTTTAAGGACTTTGCTCACCAGTAAATCAGGCTGAGATGTAATTCTCCAGAGTTGCTTGCAGATTAAGGCTGCATTGAACAATTTTAAGTCCAGAAACCCCAGCCCACCATTCTGCTTGGGTACTGTGACCTTGGACCAGCTTCTCTAATGAATCCCTTTGTTATCATTTGAATTATTTTTCCATCAAAATTGAGCACATAAGCTTGACAAAGCTGAACAAATAGCAACAGACAGCTTAAAACATGACATAGTAAATATTGGTAATGTCTGCAAAACAGATTTGATCAGAACAACTTTGCCAGCAGAAGACATGAGTTTGGATTTCCAGTTCTGGAGTTTACATTGGGTGGATTCAACCATATAAGCAAAGGCATCCTTCTTAGATTTGCCAATGCCAAGAGGCAAACCCAAGTATTTTGTGGATCTATGAAGTTGGATTCCTTGCAGGGTTGCACAAATGTTCTCCTTCAGAGGGGAGGGTGTGTTTCTACTGAAAAATATGGCAGATTTTTGAATATTCACTGTTTGACCAGTAAAGAGCTTGTACCTGTTCAACAAGTCCATTAATACCCCAGCTTGATCAGTCCCAGCCTTACAGAAGAACAGGGAGTCATCTGCAAATAAAAGGTGGGAGATTTGGGGCCCTGATTGGGATAGTTTCAACCCTCTAAGAAGACCAGAGTTGATAGCGTTCTGAACCAAAGCTGAGAGAAGTTCTGCAACTATAATGAAAAGATATGGGGACAGGGGGTCCCCCTGCCTGATACCTCTAGAAGGAGTGACAAAGCCACTGATATCACCATTAATTTAGAAAGCAATGGAGGTGGTAGAAATGCAAGCCATTATCAGTTTAACAAAATCAAAGTGAAATCCCATCTGAATCATGATCTTTTTGATACTCATCTACTCATTTCTGTCAAATTCATAAGGTCAAGCTTAAGGGCCATAAAATAGTTCTTCCCAGAAGAATGTCTATTAAGGAAATAGAAGGCCTCCTGAGCTATTATAACATTATCTAGTAACTGCCTACCCTTAATGAAAGCTGACTGATGTCCACTTATGCAACCATCTAAGCAAGTTTTCAATCTTTGGGCAAGAACTTTGGAAATCCCTTTGTAAACCACTGTGCAAAGGCTAATAGGTCTAAATTTACCCACAGAATCAGGAGATGCACATTTAGGAATCAGAAAAAGAATGGTGTGGTTCCAATATTGAATTGGCCAGAATGGAAGAAACTCATCACAGCAGCAATGAAATCTGATTTAATAAGAAGCCAGAAATGCTGATAAAGTAAAGCATTCATACCATCTTCTCAAGGGCCCTTGTCAGGGCGAAGGCTGAATAAAGCTGATTTGATCTCTTCTTCCTCCACTGGGAGCAGTAGTGTTTGGTTCATTTCATCAGATATGGAAGGATTAATCAGCTGCAGTAGAGAATCTCTTCCCCAAGAACATTCTGTACTAAAAAAGGCTGTGTAAAAGTCATGAATGTGCTCCTGGATATCTTGCTGAGATGTCAGTTCCTCTCCCCTCTCATTGAGAAGCCTAGTTATAGCATTCATCCTCCTCTTTTGCATTGTATAGACATGAAAGAATCTGGAGTTACAATCACCATGCTTAAGCCAGTGAAGTTTAGTTTTCTGCTGCCAGTAGAGGGCCTCTTCATGGTGAGCCTTTTCTAGATCTCTTCTAGTTTTGTTCCAATCCTCCCATTTGGATTCAGATTCATCTTCTCTCAGTTCTTCCAGCTTTTTTGTTAGGGCTGCAATTTGTAGCTGATTCTGAGTATGGAACTAAGAGCTCCATTTCAGTAGAGCAATTCCAGTGTTCTTGACCTTCTCCTTGAGCTGGAAGAAAGGTGTCCCTGTTGTTGTGTTGAGCCAAGTCTGAGAAACCACATCCAATAAACCAGCCCTTCCAATCCATCTTCTTTCAAATTGGAATCTTCTTGATTTTCTCTCTTTAGGCATTTCTGGGTCCACTAGTATGATAGAGTGGTCAGAGGAACAAGAAACCAAGTTTAGAGTTTTTGCATTGGGGAAAGATTGCATCCAGTCCAAATAGCCAAAGGCTCTATCTAGCTTTTCTTCCACCATGTACTGGGAACTTCTGTTGTTGCACCAAGTGTACTGATATCCCAGCATCTTTATTTCCTCCATCTCCACTGTGTTAAAAAATGAATTGAATCCCCAAAAGCTGTTGGAAGGCCTTGTGACTCCCCCACTCTTGTCAGAGCTAGAACAAAGGTCATTCCAATCTCCTGCCATGAATCACTGGTCTCCCCATTTGCTTTCTTCAGCTTCCAGAGCTTCTCATTGAGATGCCCTTTGGATTCTACAGGTGCTTAGATAAACAAAAATCCCCCACTGGGGTTCAAAAGAAGGAAGATGAAAATGGAAAACAATAAAAAAGGAAGAACTAACAATCTGAATAATATTTACATCATGGTTCCAAAGAAGTAATAAGCCTCCACTAAGACCTAGAGGATCAACCACAGAGAATCTATCATCAAAACCTAACTTCTTAACAACAATTCTGACAAAAGCATTAGATTTTTTTTTTTCAGAAAGGAATACAAATACGGGGTGATGAGACCTCAGTGTCTCTCTGATTTGGGAAACTGTGGAGGGCCATCCAGCCCTCTACAGTTCCACACCGCAGCTAGCATTTGGAACTTGGGTGCCAATCAAGGCTGGCCACCCCCACCTCCTTTGGCCCTTCTTTGAGTTTTTTGCTGGTTGGATCAGTTTGAGTTTGGTTGGTCATGTCTTCTTCATCCTCAGGAGAGTCAGCATTGCTCCTATTTCTCTTACAATAGATGGGAATTTTAGAGTTTTCTTCATGTCTCTGAAGACGGTCTTCCCTGTTTTCAGCTCTCTTCCATGTTTTCGTGATGCCTTTGCCTTTGTTAGGTTTCAAGGAAGAGGTGGCTTGAGAGATAGGGATCATTCTGGTTTCAATGTCCATGAATTTGACAAGTTCTTCAGTTTGAGGAGTCGGTTAAGAGGTTTCTGAGGTTTTTGGTTGGTTAGGTGGTGAACTAGTAGTTGAGCCATTGATTGATGATATGAGAGTACGATTTGGGTTCTCTTGGTGAAGGATAATTTGGTTCTTGTGGGCTGGTTGGCTGGCTGTGTTTTGTTGTAGATAGCTATGTTCTGGTGATTGGCTTGGGTTGGGATTGGATCTTTGTGGGCTGTGTGGTGGACTCCTTGACCCTAATGTGATGGCAGTATTGGGTGTCCCAAACTGTCCTTCAGGAGCTTTGAGCCAATCACCATATTGGCCTTCTCTAACATTACTGGATTTGATATCTTGGACCTTTCTGAGACATCCCTTCTCCAGATGCCCAATGTGCCCGCAGTAGTGGCATAAGTTCCTGAGTTTTTCATATCTGAAGCTAATGGGAGTAATATGATCTCCTAGTCTGACTTTTGTGCATCTGGGAATAGGCCCTGCCAAATCCAAAGTCACCAGTAACCTGAGAAATTTGCCTCCATGACTCCAGTAGTTTGCTATGACCACATTATCCACTTCATTGAAGACTTTGCCTATCTTAATGCCCACATTAGTGCATAACCAATTCAGAGGAATATTACGCACTTGTGCCCATATTTTAAGTTTCTGGAAACAAGTATGCTTACTACTCAGTCCATCTATCCATTCTGATAAGATCAGATACTGATTCTCACAGCTCCAGTTTGTACCTCCAAGCACTTTCTTGAGATCCTCCCTGCTTTGGAATATAAACTAAAAGTAATTTGGCCCAAGTTCTTTTACCTCCATAGGTTGAGATAATCTCCATATTTGGCTCATGGATCTTTTAACACCTATCCAGCTGGCTGGCCGGTCACCAACAATTTTACTAAATAGGCTTCGATTGCACTCTTCCGCACTGAACCGAATATCTTCTTGGGCGATGTCAATGAGTAGTGCTTGTCTATCAGAAAGTGAGAAGTTCTCCATCAAAATCTGTATATCATTAGATTTTTTCTCCAATACACTCGAGCATTAGAAATGCTCTTATACATTAACTTATGCTTTAAATGGAAAATTCGGGTGTTAATCCCTAGTTGCCTTTTTATTTGGAGATGCTTGTATACATTAACTTATATTTTAAAGGGAAAATTCTGTTTTAATCCCTAGTTGCCTTTTTAATTTAAAGTCTTGTCCTCGTTTTAAATTTTGATTCATATCACTCTATCCACTTTCTAAAACTTTTCTTCTCAAAGTGCCCTAATAACTAATTCATATATTAACTCATAATTACTATCACTTGTTAATGAATATATTAAAATTATATAATATCAGCAATACTATTATATAGAAACATAATTTAATTTCTAATTTAAGTTGTATATAAAGAGTATTTAAGTTGTAATGCCACTAGTTAAAAAATGGTGCCCTTACTTTATTCTACAAATTGCTCCTGGTTTATCTTGATATTCACAGTTTAAAGATAGTCATATGATGCTAAAGAGGGTCGACTTCTCAAGAACGCGTACAATTGTGCCCGATATACTCGTATCAAGGAGGATCGGATTTGGGAAGCTTCAGGCCTCACGCCGCGAAGGTCCGTCACGCTACGACGACAGTAGCCCATCGCGGAAGAAGCACGTCGCGAGGACTTTCACAAAAAATAGAGGCTGGAGGTGTTAGATATGTTGTAAAATCTTGGCTTTAAAATATAAAAAATTTCATTTTGTTCTGGCAATCGTGTTTTAGTCAAAGTTTATTTATTTATGCAATTATAACTCCATTATTTTACATTGTAGATAATATAGTTTGTCGTTTCGAACAGTAAGATCATACTATCGATTCTTTGTAAAATATAAATATAAAGTTCACAGTCTTAGACAGGCAGTGAGACCCCTGTTGAATAAGGACTGCAGTGTAGTCTTGATTCAATTGATCTTCGACTGATGGATTGCACTAGTACTTATGATAAGTATTGAACGGACCGCAGAAGGATAATATTATAAGATTTACTGATCGTGGTTGTAATCTAGACCTTCAGTGATTGATGCGTTCTCTTAAGATGCAAGATAAAATAAAATGGGCATATATATTTATTACTTATTTATTTGATTTAGCAAGGGTGATTCCTATTCTGTTAGGATGACATACTCGCTACCTTGGTAAGTAAAGTATTTATATGATGTGCCATTAGAAATTATTTACAGTCACTATGTCCCAGTGTGCTGGGTTGATGGTCCCCGAAATGAGCTCAGTAAGGAATATTATGTTAAACTCTGCAGGTAGATAATTATCCGACATAATGATTAACGAACTGAGTGGTACTAATTTTGGAAATGGAAGAGTCAAATTAATTTAATTGTCAGTAACTAAATTAATTGATGGACATTAAATCTTAAACATAGGGAGGTAAATCGGTCAATTAGATTAATTAATTAATTTATTAATTAATCATTTGGAGGTTTAATTTATTGAATAAATTGGAGCTAAATGTGGAGAGCAATAATATCACTCTAGTGGGATTTCTTATTATTTAATTCTAATTTGGATTTTTGGAATTAATTATATTCCATGTTTTAGATTCCATTAGGAGAGGAATATTCCTTCTAGAATATTCACCCTAGGGTTAGGAGACTATGGAGTCTTCTAGAAGGGTGATGGAGGTTAGGAGGAATAGGACTTCTAGATGGGATATGATATGGAGCATGATTAGGATTCCTAAGCCTAATGGGATAAGCCCATATTTAGCACCTCCTTAAGGTCCTTAATAGAGCCTATAAATACAACATGTTCCAACCTCTTCCCCTATTATTGATTGAGCTCGATTTTAAGGTCTTACACAAGAGAGGAAAATCGAGATTAATACATATACGAGATTTCGGGAGCTTCAATTAATCGCACCACCAAGATTAGTCGTAGTGGATGTTAAGGTAATTTATTAGAAGACCTTAAGGTTAGATAGATCAAACCTTTAGATCTAATTTTTCCGGCCATCTCCACCGCCGACCGCCGCTGCCGGCAAGTCGCCGGAAATCTACNCCACCGTCTATGATCGTCGCACCCCATCTTCCCAGCACCTGTCCGCGCCGATCGCCCATGTCCCAGTCCGCGCAGGAGAAGGAATCCCGCGTCTGCACGCACATGAGATCTAGTCCGCGTAGACCTAGGACATCCGCACTACACGTGCCCGAGCCTCCCGCATCCGTCCGTGTCTGCCCGCACGACCGCGCGTCCTAGCCACCTAACGTGCACCGTCTGCGACCAGCACCAGCGACTCGCGCCCGTCTGTGACCAAAGCCGATTAGCGCCAATCCGCGACAGCACCACTGCACCCATACCCGACCGAGACGTGACCAGCTGACCTGAGCCGAGCCCGAGTTAGCCCAGCTGAGTCTCGACCGAGTCAACCCGGTGAATCGAACCTTGTCCAACAGGCCCGAGCTCGATAGGCCCGATCCGGTGATCCGTTCATGATTCAGTGACTCAATCAGAATGGAGAAAGGCCAAACCTGTCAGCCCATCGGGTTGTGGTAATCAGACGATCTCCATCAAAGGAAATCAGAAACGTCTCTGAGTCGGAAAAATTTTAAACGGTAATGTCCTTACTCTTACTATAGATTCCACTGCGTTAAGGTTTTTTTTTTTCCAAAATTCAAACGTGCATGTTGTTTTCATTCCTAATATAACCCAATAACTGGTATCATAGCCCAGGTTTAATTCAACTTCGTGCACGGTTTGAATTAAGACTTACCTGTTATGCGAATTAGTTGCGTACGGACGCAACGCATAGTAGATTAGAAATTACAATAAGTTGGTTGCAGGAGATTTCGAATCTGACTATTATTTCCCGTATGTATGGTATTAATTCATGTATGTGTTTTAAAGGCTCGGACATGTCGAGGAGTTTTTGGGTTGGTGAATGCTTGTAAATTATTCGCGCGGTGAAACACTGCATAGTTTATTTATTTCATAGAATACTCATGTACGACTCCTGCGTGGGTCATAGGATGAATTATGTAATTGCTTTATAATTTTCATTATTGATCCCACACACGTGTACTAACCTCGAAGAGGCGAGAAACACGCGGACAAAAGCCGACAATGGCGAACCAATGGCGGATTTCCCGGAGACGACCAGTTCAAGACGAGTAGTGGGAGTCATCGAGAAAAGAGGATTTCCAACTCCCGGAAAGGAAGGCGCAGTTCGACAAGTACAAGGATTTTGTTTCTCCAAAAACATTGGAGATTGATTGAATGGCCATGATAGTTGGATTATTTATTTATTCCTCGTTTTAATATTGCCGTTTAATCATGCATGTCCTTATGTGATTTAATTGCTTATGTGCAAATTGAATGTAATGCCCCGTTTATTTGTGGATTATTTGGGATTTATTATTATTATTATTATTATTATTATTATTATTATTATTATTATTATTATTATTATTATTATTAATTGGTGATAATATTTATATTTATTTTTCTCGAATGCCATAATATTTATTAATTGTCAAATGTGATTAAATGTTACATGTCTAATTGTCTAATTGATTTTTGTGATTTATTAAATTATTAATATAAAATAATGTGTGTATTAAATAATCATTATATCCGGTTTTATTTTATTTAATTAATCGTTCGATAAACTGAGCCCGATAATCCGAGCCCAACCCGCGAGTGTGTGTGTGTCTTTTGGGGCAAGACATTAAACCTAATTCTAAGTATATATTTTTGATTTCCCCCTCCTCATTCACGCACACATGAGATAATCCCACATCCCGCAGCCCTTATTTTCTTTTCTGTGATTTCTCTCGTCGACTTCCCCATCCTCATCGTCCCAGGCCGTCATCTCCTTCATCACCATCGCAGCATCATCGCCATCGCCCTCATCCTCTGAACGTGCAGGCCATCTCCGACCATCTTCTTCGTCGAGTGCCATCGCGTGAGCCTGCGATCTCAGAATCCCGTCCGCCGCTGCTCCCTTCTCCGCGTCGCGCAGCACCATTCCCGGCGAACTTCCCCCCCCTCCGGCGACCCCAGCAACGAGCACGTTGCTCCTCACACGTTCACCGGCAGCCACTGCCTTCTTCCCCGCGGCCGGCGTTTTACTGGCGACAACCTCGACGAGCAGACAGACGAAGGTCGAGGCCAGCGGCGAGAGAGATGTCCGTGCGATTATTCGACGACGTCGAGCCCCGCCGATTCCTCCCGTTCGCAACAGTCCACTCGAAGTCCTATCAATTCTCCTCAGTCGCTCGTCCCATCAAGCAGTGACTGGTTTCCTTCTTTAACAAG